TTATTAGCTTTTGTATAATATTTTACATATTCTAAAGCAATTGCATATGGTTTTTACTATTTCAGTATTGATTCAATGATTATATGACTATCATTGCTATGATTTGACTCCTTACGTACGTATTGCTCATTTGTCGTGCTTTGAATTCAGTTATAGATTTTAATATGAGCTGCTGAGTCAGTTAGCTCATTATATGTGGTTAAATGATTTTAGGTCATGACAATAGAGTATGAGTGGGAGATTGATTAGGATCCTTCTTGTTCAATTTCTTTTGTTAGATATTTTTTTATAATAAACATTTGGATAGACATTATATGATTAATGGTTCCTACGTTTTGTATATGATTTTTTGGAATAATTAATATAGATGTATATTGATATTTTGAGTTATAGAAATTATTTCCGTTATTTATTACTGATAGATAATATTATATTGCTATAGTGTTATTATTAGGAAAAAAAAAAGAAAGAATTCTTCCCAATTAGATTCTGCGACGTGACACACCATGCATCCCTTTCCACCAGTCAGCAAGGACTCACCAAGTGAGCTACGAGCGACCATTATGTGCAACTCACAAACGAAGGAGTCTAGAGAGATGGCCTAGGAGAGGAAAAAAAGAAGAGATATGCAGCTATGATGGAAATCTAGTTTTTCTTTAGGTTAGCCAACTCCATGTTAGTAAATTTATTTAGGTAATGCGGTTTCAGTCATTGGATGTGCGATCAGCGGCTCAAATTTTGAGTTTTCTGAACTACGCGGTTCTTTACCAAACGACTGGTCTGATGGTTAGTCAGGTCAATGTGGATTCAACCAGTTTTTGGGTTATTCGACTACAATCCAAGTTTCATTATAGAATGGGAATTGACCACGATTCAACCGCTTGATCCAATTTTTAAAACCTTGTGTTTTTATGTACATGTTTACACGGAGATATTAAAAAAAATAAGAATTTAAAAAGTAAAAACATGATAAAATCTACAACAATAATGATAGAACATAATCATCACTAGAATGAATATGAATAATATTTATTTTATATATTAATGTGTTAATATTTTTTGTTTCTTTCGTCAATTTAACTAGATCTTACCTAATTTTTAATATTGAACACAAAAATAGAAATGGCATAGACGTGGACCACAAGTAGCTAAAAAGACAATGTTCCCCTTCCCTTATATTCAATGGGAGCAAAGACAAGAAAAGATAGAACAGGGGTACACAAAAACTGTCTTATGTGGTTCAATTTGCCTGCATGAGAAAGCTTCTTTCAAAACTGCACAGACGAATGTTATCTTGATATTTTTGGCTAATTAAAGCTAGTATAACTTTTTTACTATTTTATTTTTAGATTGTAATTATAATTTTTATTTGGTGACTATTTTTTGTTATATTAAAAAAATTATACTAAAAAAATTTCATTCTATAGGTGCTTTAAAATTAATTTTATTTTTATCTATGGTAATTTTGCAAAATAGTAAGAAAGTCATCCCCAATGAAACATAAAGTTTCAAGTAATTATCCTAATCTTAATCTTTTTTAAAAATTTTGAACACAAACCTTAAGTAATGATTATAATTACCATTTTTTATTTTTAGTTATTTTTTGGAGATTTAGGTCAATTAAGGCGAACTCACACATATATCACATACACAAACTTCGAACCCAAGACCTCTATGTTGGTACCAATAGGGGTGGAACCAGCCTTAATGTTCAAGGTAATTTTTAATTGAGACTGTATAGTTCATGAATGTGATCAAAATAATGTGACATGGTAAATTTTATTGTCATAGATTGTGACAACACTCCTTTAAAAATCTATAAAAGGCTTTGCTTCAACATATTATGAACATTTTTGGCATTAAAAAAATAATATTTATTTGACTCTATCTCCAATTAGCCTCTCGGTTGTTTATTAGTCTGCATTTCTTTTTAATATCTTTAGTAAAGGGGCTTCTCTTTTAGCAATAGGGTCTCATGAATCATCTCCCGACAATTCTTTGAATGTCTTCACATGCACTGTTCTGACTCTTACATGTGCCCATGTGCAACCATCATCGCACATACCAACATACTCGCATACCGGCATACATAGTCACATACAACTATTAATGTTACTTATGGGATAAATATCAAATTCATCAACCTAGCAAGAACATAATAATATTTCCAAAATAATTACTTACTACTAATCCTTCTAAACATAAACATATTTATAATTTCTATAATCCATTTTTACTATAAATAGTAAATTTATAAATATTCAAGCTTCCAATGTTACATACATACATACATGACCTACATATACATACATACATGATATATATATAACAAGTCCCTTTCTTCAAAAAGTAGGTGACAGCAACCCTTCAGTTTCCTGTTAGCACTGGATTGGATTTGCCAGTGAGCCAGTCCCCAATATCCCACCACATGATTAGGCTAGCCATGCACGTGCGGGTCCTACCAATTTTGACCTCACTCGTGTGAGACTTACTTGCACTAACTCCGCACCCACCCACACAGCGCCAACACCTCCGACATCCAATCGGATGAAATTTAAATAATTAAATTTACATTAATATTAATGTAATATAAATTTTAATTAATTTAAAAATAATTTTATTGGCATTTTGTTTCAGAGTTAGGCCCGCCATATAATCGGAATGCAACCGTCATGATAGTGGCAGTTGTGCCGTCTATTGGAAGGAGATATATTTTATAATAAATATATTTATGTTTGCAAAATACCACACGACTCTTTGTTCATTTACCTCATGATATTATTATAATAAAAGGTGGAGCTATCATTATCATATGTATCATGTATGGTCAAAGTATCATCATCTAAATTCACATGTAGCATGTTCAAAAGCTGTGGGGCAGTAACAGTCTAAAGATAGACCTTTATTTATCTTTGATTCGTGATACACGTGGCGTTCGCTCCCTCCCAATTAAAGGCATATACTACTGATTAGAAAATTATGAACTAATTGATGATCACGCATCATCATCAAAGGCAAATAATCTATTGTTGAATTTTTTTTTGTTTGGAAGTAATATATAAACATATTAGAGACTAATGTTGAACGGATATGTATGTCACATTTAATAAATAGAAAAATCATAATATTTTACTATTTTAGTTTTGGTAATTGAAATTATACACTATATTTTATGAAATTGGTACATCATGTGTCCAATTTTTGACTAAATTGTTTCACATCAATTTATTTCATTGTGTAAAATTTATGAGATTTATTTCATTGTTTCACATCAATTTGGAGTCGGACCAAATGAATATAATTGGTAATCGAAATTGTTCTTCAATATAATTAAGCATAGTGGCAGACGGCCTGGACATCGCGCGACGGCTAGGGCTTCGGGGGTCGGGACGACGCGCGACGGCCTGGACTTCGGGCGCGACGGCTCGCCACCGTGCGTCTCCGGCCTTGTTCGCGCGACGGCCTGGACTCCGCTCGCGACGGCTTGCCACCGCTGGGGATCCGCCGCTAGGGCTTTGCCCTAGCTCTGTTGGGGCTCGTCTTCTACAGGGAAGTCTCATTTTTTTTGCATTTTCCTTCCATTATGGTGGCTAGTCGTGTTCGTGACCCCGGTTTTTTGGATGGATCCTTTAAATCGCGTTCTTTTGTGGAAGCTTTATCTGGTTCTTCGAGTACAGTTGATTTTCCTGAGTTAAGAAAGGGTTTTTGTCGTGGTTTACCCTCGTTATGGATATCGGAGGAAGAAATTTTAGCTCTATCTATTCCTTTTCAATTTGCTCTGGTTGGTTTCTTTCCTACGCGGCGGCCTTCACTTGATGCTATCCGGAAATTTTTTTTCAGCTTGAAACTTAACGCTGAAATCTCTGTAACTGTTCTGGATCAATCTCATATTCTCATTAAGCTTTCTAATGATTTGGATTATAGTAGAGTTTTCAGCCATAGATCTTATTTGGTGAATAACTGCTATTTGAAACTTACTAAATGGTCGCCGGATCTTGATGTCGGAAGCGTGCAGCCAGTCTTCGTTTTTCCCTTATTGCGTGCAAATTTGGAGTGCTCCAGCTGACGATCATTATTGATTCCTTCGATCATAGAGTTTTTGTCAAGCATTTAAGTATCTTAATGATGCCATAATTAAGTGATCTTATGATTCTTAGATTCGTCTCATCGAGCCCCTCAATTTGACTATAAGCATTTTATATTTGAAGATTATTTGATTATGAAATTAATGTTTTTAAGCTTTTAAATATGATACAAACCTTTGGGCTTTGGGTTTCGTTTGGGACAACTTTCATACTACTTTCTAAAACGGCTTTCTAGTAAAAAAATTTCAAATTTAAGAAATTTTTACACTAGAAAGCTGTTTTAGAAAGCAAGAAGAAAGCCGTCTGAAACGAAACCTAAATTAACGGCAGAATGGTCATTCACCCAGCAATCCGTTAATACCTAAGTTTCGTTTAGGACGACATTTTTATTGCTTCTTAAATCATCTTTTTAGTACAAAAATTTTAATTTTGATATTAAAAAGCTGCTTTAAGAAATAATAAAAAAACCGTCCCAAATGAAGCGGTAATTCTTCATCAATTTTTCCTAATTTTTTTCTTAATTTTAAAACTAGTAATTAAGATTATGTAGCACCTATAAATATGTATAACTTCTATAATTTGAAACAAATGAATAAATTCTTCCATCATATTTCTTCTCTCCAATTTTGACAAAAATAAACTACATCAACATAAGTCATTTTCCGATTTACAACTAAGAAAGATCCGTGGATTCACATCTCTTTTTTTTTTTATTTGGAACAGTTAGCCCAATTAAAACAGATTCATACATACATCACATACACAATATCCAAATACAAAACCTCTTAATTGATAGCCTAAGTTCCTAACCAACAACCAAATGAACTTTGTGGATTCAGATCTCTCGCATGATGCACCAGAGATTCAAAGAGATATTGCGGCACCAAATAACTTTGTACTCATTCAAAGTAAAAGTTTCTGCAAATTAGGATAGGATTTTATTGCAGGATAAATGAATGCCATAAACCGCACCTGCTGCTTCCATTTAGTTCAATATACACAAATCACAACCACAGCAAGAAGGGTCATATATCAGGAAAACAGAGTGAAGAAACCCAGAATTCAAATTGGCAATGATCGCCCACATAAGGGCATCCTAAACTTCCATTCTTTCAGTACTCAATGAGAAACAATATACACTAAAACATTCCCAAATCAGAGAACATAAATGCAAAATAAACAAATAGAACTCATCTCCCAAATTGTAAACCATTACCACGTTTACAGATCATCTCGCCTCCTCCTACTCTTCTTCTGCTTTGAATCATCAAGATAATGTTGATACATATAGTTAGCAAACCCCAAAGTAGCAATCAGCAAAGCTATCACTTTTACCCCGTCCATGCTATCATGGAAGAACACCACAGCAAATATAGGCACCACAGGCAATGCCAAGGTAGCAATCACATTGGAGAAGAGTGAAGAAACAACAAAGATCAATCCCACTGCCCCCACAGAATACAGGAGCCAGCTTATTGCAATCCAAACCAAAGTCATAACATAGGAAACCTTACCCTTCTCAAACTCCCCAAACTCCAAATGAATTCCCCTCCACTCTCCGCTGACGAAAAGCCCCACCACGGACGCCACCGCAGCCAAAAAATTAGTCCATAGAGTCATCTGAATCACAACCAAAAAGGTCTCAGATTTCAAAACCTTCTGGAAAGAAAGCTGCGTTAGGGACATCATAAGCGAGAATGTCGCTGATGCGGCTATGGTTAGGGTAAACCCTAGCGGGTACTTGTCACTTGAAACGGAGCCGCCGCCTTCGGATCGCACTCCGAGGAGAGTGGCAGCCAGAGTGAGGAGAATGATGGAGTTGAAAATGAAAGCAGTGAACTTTTGAGAGTTGAGGAAGTAGGCGAAGAGAGCGTTGAAGGCGAGTTGTGTGGCGCAGACAAGGGAGTAAGTGGATACGGGGAGGTATAGGAGACCGTAGGAGTACATGAGGTTGTCTCCGGCGATAAGGAGGCCGATGCCGATGTATACGGCGGCGATCTTAACAGCCGATGCTGTCGCCGGTGAGGAGGAGGAGGAAGAGGCGAGAGGGTAAAGGAGGACAAAGGGGAAAAGGAGAGGAGCACCAGCAGATTGAACGATGGTGGCCATCCAAATGCTTTTGCCGCCGTTGTTGTAGTAGAAACGGCCTAGGAGGGTTCCGGCTGCTTGGCCGGCGAGGATGAAGAGTGTGAAGAGGGAGATCATAAGCCACCATCGCCAGCTTTTGAGGTTTGAAGAGGAGGGCAGTTCTTGACTGGAAGTTGCCGGCTTTGGTGATGTTGCCTCTGGAGCAAAGATTATCATTTTAAGAAATTCACATACGAAAACAGGCAAAAGGGCAACTTTTGGCATTTAAAAACATAGAATTTCTTAGATAAACAATGGATTCATCTTTCTTGCACCAATTAATTTGTAAAAGTGGCATGTATTTTTACTAGTTACGGAAAAAAAATCCTCGTATGTGCGTAAGCTAAAGTGGATGTAAGCAATATTTTTTGCAGAGAATTATTGCTCTAAAATTACATTATTGGGCCAAAGAGAACTATAAAAAAACAAAATCATAATTGTCGAAGGGAGAACATAAAGTTGAAAGATTTCGAATATTTTCCACCCCAAAAAAAAATCGAATATTATATTCATTTTTTTTTTTTTTGGGGAAATTTTGGGCCATGGCCCTTCTATAAATGAAGCAAAAAAGCAATTACATAAGCAAAAAGCAAGAAAAAAAAAACTATACCAAACATAAGCACAAACAAAAGCTTATGATGGTCAGAAAGACGGAAACCCCAACTATACCACCCTAATTACAAGAAATAAGAACAGTAGTAGAAGTGGTAACCAAAAAAGCATCCCAGCAACGCCAAAAAAGTTGAAGCTTCTCAGCCAAAAAGAAGTCGCCCCAGCAAGCTCCAGAGACCAGAGGCAACAAACCTGAAATAGAGAGGACTGGCAAGATGGTGAGACAGCAGCCAAAATAACCAGTGAATCAATAAGTCCCCCAAACCGAGTAGCGCAGGACTCAGAAAATAAATCAGTAGAGAAAGCAGCATTCCCTTGGTTGCCAGGAGGCCATCCAAAGGGAATGACCCAGAAAAAAGGAGGGACTTCATCATTGTCCTGGCTACAAATAAGCACCTCCAAAAAACCAGCAGATCCCGAACCACCAAGGAAAAAGACCGACCCCAGAACATTTCGCAAAGAAGGTGACAGAATCAGAAATGCCCCATGAGCAGTTCACCATTTTTCCACTTACCCAGCTTGATGTTAATAACCCTTTTAATAGCAACAGAAAGGGTATTAATGCTATGGAAATCATTCCCAAACCTCCTACTATTGCGTTCACGCCAAACATAATACAGAGTGCAGCAAACCACCATTTTAAAGCAATCCCGGAACAGAGAAGGACCCAAATAATCAGAATCAAGCCATTGCAAAAGCTGAAGCACAGTGGGTCTAAACAAGAACCCAGCCAAATCAGGAATAAGGCCTTGGAGCACAGCAAAGGAGTAATCACATTCAAAAAAGAGGTGATTAACAGATTCAGGATAATTGTAGCACAGAGAACATAACTCTGGGACAAAAATATTACGAATTCTCAAAGCATCTTGGGTCTTCAATCCACCCATAAGAGCAAGCCAAACATAAACAGTATGCTTAAGACTAAAGTTTTTGTGCCAGATAAGTTTATCCCAAAGGCTATCCGTGTGGCCACAGTAAAATTCCTCCAGAAAATCCTTGAAGTAAACCTTAGAATGGCCTTTCCAGCTAATACAGGAGATAGGCTCAATAGCAATGGGCACATTAGTAATAGTGTTCCTAATAGAAGAAGGCAACTCACCAGGCAAATTCCAGCCATTTTCCCCCAGGTAGTTCTTAATCCAATGATCGGGCAGCCACACCAGAACTTCTCTGCCAAATAACTCAAACAGAGAAAAATTATCACACCAGGGGTCCCAAACCAAGGCAATGGGATGAGAGGGGGAAATGTTGAATCTGCAATTATGCTTAACCAACAAAGCAGTATTACAGATAGTCACCCAGAATTTACTTGCAAGGGGAGGAGGAGGTTTCCAAGGGGAAATATAGGTTGATCTAAGCCAAGAAGCCAGTAAAGAGGAACTATTGTACATCCTGAGAATAATAGTGCAATTAAAGGCATACTGGATAGCATGAAGAGAAGGCAGACCGAGCCCACCCTTTACTCTAGGCTTGCACACATTGTCCCATGAGACCATATGAATCTTGTTGGAGCAGCTAATATCACCAAAAAACAAGAATCTGGAGCAGGATTTCTTAAAAATCTTAAAAACAGATTTAGGCAAAATCGATCCTCTAATCCAGTAGGCAATGGTGTTTTGAATAGTAAATTTGAGATATTGCAATCTGCCCGCAAGAGAAAGAAGGTTAGCCTTCCAACCATTAAATTTTTTGTGTAAACTATCCATTAAAGGCAGAAAATCAGCTACTTTCAAAGTATAGAAAGCAATAGGTATGCCCAGGTAGGATATTTTGGAGGTGATATGATATATGGATAGGGCTTGACACAGCAAATCTTGATTTTTCTGCTTTTTAGTAAACATAACAGAACATTTTTCATGATTGACCTTGAGGCCGGAAGCTTCACCAAACTCATTAAGGATACTAGTAAGCATAGTGCAGTTGTCCACAGTAGCTTCTCCAAAGATAAGAACATCATCCGCATAAAGCAGGTGAGAGAGGTGAAAATTTTCACACTTGAAACCTTTAAAACCTCTTTCTTCCAGCAAATTAGAAAGAGCGTCCATAACAATACAAAAAAGATAGGGGCTCAAAGGACACCCCTGCCTAAGCCCAGCCGAGGAGGCAAAATAGCCTTCTAAAGCACCCTCAATGACCACTGAGAAATTGACATTTGTGATACAGGCTTTAATCCAGTTAATAAAATCCTTAGGAAACCCTTTGTGGTGCAATCTAGCAAGTAAGAATTCTCTGGAGACAGAATCAAAAGCTTTTTTGATATCAATTTTTGCACAGAATATGTTGTGAGAACCTTTCTTGGAAACCAAAGAGAGAATTTCCTTAGCAAGCAGAATGCTATCAGTGGAAATCCTAGACTTCACAAACCCAGCTTGAGAGTCTTTGACTATGATAGGCATCAAAGGTTTGAGTCTAGCGGAAATCACTTTGGCAATAATTTTATAAAGCGTATTGCAAAGGGAGATAGGCCTGTAGTCAGAGATGGTGGTGGCATTGCTAGATTTAGGAATAATAACAAGAGCAGTGGCTTTGATACCACTAGGAAGATAACCTTTGGTAAAGAAAGCATTGATCGCTTTGCATAAAAGGGGCCAATAATGTGCCAACCAGTCTTATAGAAGTGATAATTAAAGCCATCAGGACCAGAAGCTGATTTGGAAGAACCTTTCATCACAGCCATCTTAATTTCCCCCTCCTGAAAAGGAGAAATAAGCAAATTTGCAAGATTACCAGGAAGAGCATCACCAACAGGAAGAAAAAACTTCCCAGGGGCAATAGGCGGAGGATTAAAAAGATTTTGAAAATACTGCACAATAGAGTTAATAACATCTTCTCTAGACAGAGTAGGATTACAAGTGAAAAGATTAGTTAAGGATTTAGACTTCCCTTGTTTACATCTGATCTTGGCGTATAAAAATTTCAAGTCCTCTTCACCATGTTGGAGCCATTTAACCTTAGCTCTTTGAATTGCCCAGCTAGCAAGAGAGGCAGAGGTTTCAACAATTCTAAGATTAACCTGCTTGAGGTTATCCAATACGTCAGTATGTAAGGGCTGGTGATGCATAGAGCTAAATAAAAGTTCTTGTTGCCTGTATAAACTATCCAACTCCACAGAAAGAGAATTGGAATTAGCCCAAATTTGATGCTTAAGTTCACCTTTGAAATTTTTAAGAAACAAGCAAAAATGAGAAAGAGGATTGCCAGATATCGGCTGATCACAGGTATTCAACAGTAGGCTCCAGTAAGAGTCATTTTTTGTCCAGAAGTTCTTAAACTGAAATCGTTGTTTGGATTTAAAATTAATCCCAGGATGAAGAATTATCGGAGAGTGATCAGAACAAGCAGGAGATTGGAATGAGCTGTAGGAAGCAGGAAAACACTTAATCCAGTTCTCATTGACAAGAGCTCTGTCAAGTTTAATAAAAATAGGATTCTCAATTTGCTGATTATACCAAGAATAATGACTCCCCACCGCATTTAGATCAACCAAATGATTAGAAAAAATCATATTGTTAATATCAACTAATTGAGAGTGATGAAGCGGCAAGCCTCCCATTTTATCTGAAGCATAGCGACAGCAGTTAAAATCACCAATAACTGCCCACGGGATATCAGTAGAGGGAGCCACATCAGAGATAGAGGCCCAAAGTTCCTGTCTATCACTAGCAGAATTGGCAGCATAAACAATAGATAACTGAAAAGAAAACAGATTCCCAATCTTAACCAAGCCATTAATGAGTTGAGGAGTGACGGAATTGGGAGTAAAACAGAGCTTGCTAGGATTCCACTTAATCCAAATTCTCCCAGAAGGAGATAAGTCAAAATTATGAACACTGTCCTCATTAGGAAAAAGCCGATGAGAAGACTCAAAAAACTGATCCGAAAGGGAGGAAAGGTGGATACGGTTTTCCAAAATACAAAGCATATCAAGCTTAAAAGACTGAATTAAACGCTTACAGCAAAAAACTTTGTCAGGGCGATTAAAACCCCTAACGTTCCACACACCAAAATGTGGAAGAGACATCAAGAATTTTGATGAGTTTGGGATTTTTTACTCTGCTTTCCCTTTGCAGATTTCTTGGCATAATCGGACCCAGCCTGTTTCTTCCCTTTTCCTACCAATTTGAAATCCTTCTCCTGCAAATCAGGATTATAATCCTCCTTACTGAGAGAGTCCAAATCCGTAAGAATATCGAATTTGTTAGGGGAATTAATACTAGTAGCGGGCTTAACAGAGGAATCCATAAGAGAAGAAGAGGAAGAAGAGAACTCTTCCGCAACAACATTTAAATTAGGGATGGAAGCATTGACATCACCAGGCAAATTCTCAATTGGGGCCACAGATGGTATGATGGTATGAGGTTCTCCCTGATTAGAAGAGGATGGCAGTGAGGTGGGAGGTTTATCGGATGGCGGTGGAGAATGGCGTTGATAGTGAAGCGGTTGACCAATACTATTCGAGTGTAAAGGAATAGTAATACCTGCATTAACCACCTCTTTTTCTTTAGGAATATTCGTTGCAGAATCCGGCTTTGGGGGTCTGGAACGAGAAGTGTTCCTGCTGTATGGTTTCTTACTGAAGCTTCTACCTCTGGCAAAAGGCCTGGAAGCGGGTTGCTCCGTGGTGACTGGGTTTGGATTTTTGGGGCATGAAGAGGAATCATGGACCAAAGACTGGCAATGTTCACAAGGAGATGGCCTCCATTCATACTGAACCCTAAGTTCAGTAATATCACCATCTAGAGAAACTTTAATGACATCAGGATAAGAGGCCTTACTATCCACCAAAACGCATATGCGGGCGTATGTAAGTCGGGTTTTTTGCGTCGTGAGTTGATCCGCAGCAACAGGAATACCAACCTTGCTAGCAATCCTTGAGATCCCCTCCGAGTTCCAACAAGCCAAAGGCAAATCGTGAATCTTGATCCAGATAGGAACTTCAGCAAAATCTTCTCTTTTCGGCTTGAATTTGGGGTGCCATTTTTGGAGGACAAAAGGCTTGCCAAGCAGAAACCACACTCCCTTAGACCAAGCCATATCAAAGTCTTCTGCACATGAGAACCGGAGCAGAAAAAAGCCATCACTCAAGGAATGAAGCTTGAGTGACCCTTTTAAAGACCAAGTTTTGTTGATAGCACCCAAAAGGGCCTCATAGAAAGGTCTTCGACCTATGGAGTAACCAACAAGGCAGAGGCTCCAATCCTCACTACCTGAGGCAAGTTTCTCGGGAGAGAAAGGAATAACTTCCGGCTCAAGCGGATGATGAGAAAAACAGAAGCTTTTGGAAGAAGGAGAGGTTTGAGCGGGAGAAAAAATATTGCACCAGTCCTTCAAAGAGGAAGGAACCTTGGAAACAGGGGATGAAGAGGACAGAGGGGGAAAATTAGAGCCATGCAAAGCAGACTCCATGAGGGGGGGAACCTCCGGCCAGGCCGGAGGGGGAGAAGAAAAGGAAAGAACGCCGGCGGAGCGAGAGGAGGAAACCCTAAAAAACGAAAGCCAGCGCAGTATCCATTGCACTGTTTTTTATATTATATTCATTCATTAGTGGCTTCTACCGTCCCGCGTGCTTCATTCACACTGAGCAGAACAATTATTTTTTTTTTTGGATCTTTCCTTCCATAAGCCTTTTTTTTCTCCTAAAAAACTATTTAATTAATTATACTTTTTTACATTAAATACTTATCATTAAAAAAAATGAATGCATCACAATCATTTTTGCAAGTATTCATATCCCCATACTTCAGTTTCTTCTAAATTACTTATTCAAAATAAAAATTCTAAGGTGAACACGGGTGAGAAGAGTTCTTCCTCTCCTCCTCCATGGCTCGAATTCGGGATTAATTATTCTGTGTGGACTTCGAAGGTTGAATGTCATCTGGAAACCAACAAGAATGTGCCACATCACCCCTTGATCGATACCACAGCTCAGTATCACTGCTCAATACTGCTGAAATAGTAAATTCTGGTTGATCTCATGATGACATTCTGCGTCCAGTCTCCGCACATAATAATATATCCGATTTAAGACATTAATTTCTAATTTTGTTGCAATTTGTTCTTAAGTTAAAAAAAAAAACATATTTCTGATCAAATTCCAAACTTTACCATTCTTTCCAGTAGACTGAATTATGAAAAATTAATGCATCATATTTTTAGCACTGGTATCTCTCTCTCTCTCCCTCTCTCCAATCAACAGTTGAGTAGAAGACTAAAATTATAAAATTTGTATGCTTTGTTTGAATGCAAATTGTGCAGATCGTGAAGGAAAAATCTCAAAACGAGTAAAATGCATTAATTCTCTCAAAAACCATGAACAAAGCTTCGAACTGGTACACAGGGAAGAAAGCGAAGCAACTGAGAAAGCACCAACCTCTTACATGGAGTTGCACCTCTTGAGCTTCTCCCATGATGAAATTAGCCTCTCCAAGATGGAAGAAAGCAATCTATATGCTACCTGCTTCAGTATTTCAGATCTGTATTGCTGTCAAGAAGATGCGAGCGAGTTTTATAAACTCAAGTAAGCCATGATTGAGTGACTTCTTTAAACCAGTTATGTCCAGAGCGACTAAAGAAAACAACTTTTTTTAAAGGAAGTAGAGATACAGGCTCTACAACGTCGACTTTGAACAAAATATAGAGAAAATCAGAAAAGAAAAAAAAAATGAAGGTGGATTTAAATCAGTATATTTGTTTTATATTATCTATGTTATCAGTTGGTATGGGAAAAATATTAATCAAACACGTAACAAATCCTTTTAGCTATACACTCCTTTCAAGATCTCCACAGCCAGCAAATTGGACTTTCTGTCGTCTACGCTGTGTATTTCTGGGACCAGAGTGGGTTTTTTTTTTCTTTTTTAAGGCTGTGATGTCAAAGGTTTTGTTGAGCCTGACGTGTACAGGTTCATAGCCTCTTTTAATGCCTATATTAATACTCGGGACGGATACCAGTCCGTGTTGTTCTTTTAATTTGTACATATCTGATATGCCTTTCTAAAAGATTAAAAAAAAAAAAAAAAAGAGTTTTGTTTTTTTTTTTTCTGTGTGAATAACATGACGAAATGATTTTTTTAAATAAATAATACTTATACAATAATTATAAACAAGGGGCGAACCAATTTCATTTTTCAGTATGTGTAAAAATTTAATTAAATAATATTAATTGCTCTGTGTGTGAATATTCACGACAATAGAGAGATAAATTGTTTAACCTCTTAGCTTTGAACGAATATCTAGTACACATATTATACAGATAAAAGAGAGGGGCGTAAAATTCATAAAAGGTATCGGAATTTTTACATGAAAAATTAAAAAAAAAGAGTAAAAATCAAGGGTGGCCAAATTGAAATAATTTAACTAGTATTTGTTGTTGATTTCAAATGATGTCTTTGGGGGAAAGTTTAGTCATATTTGTCTTTAAAATCTAACTATATTATCTAATAGTTTAAAATATTAAATATATTGAGATATAATATATGAATTTAAATTTCATTAAAATATTCTGATTAAATTTTCATCATGATAGGCATAGTTGCTTTGAAATTGTTTGTAAGCTTAGTATAATTCTTGGATATTAGATCAGATATATCATTAATATGATCAATTCTGACGAAAAATCAATCAGAATATATCGACTTTTTTTTTTCTAATACATGGCATTTGAAATCAAGACAAATACCATAAAATTAGCATCAACCTACTGCCAAATATATTAGAATATTCTAACATGATTATTTTCATATTTTACTTAAATAAAACAGTATATACAATTTTTTTGTCTCATAAAAGTTAAATATTTGTAAATATTTTTTTTTAATATTTGTAAATATCTTACAATTTAAATAAAGACAAGTTTCTTACAAATTATTAAGATGTCATTTATACTTTCAGAAGATATAGGCTTCATTTGGAACATCTTTTTTATGATTTTTAGCAGCAACTTTTTAATACAAAAATTTTTTGAACTAAAAATTTTTGTATTAAAAAAACTAACTTAGGTTTTCTTTGTGACGGCTTTCTTACTGCTTATTAAAGCGGCTTTTTAGTACAAAAATTATTATTTTACTAGAAATTTGCTTTAAGAAGCAGTAAAAAAGTCATCCCAAACAAAACATAAAAAAAAAATCAAAAAAGCTATCACAAAAGAAATCATATTGCCAATATTTTTTTTCCCTCTAAGTGTTAAAAGACTTTCTCATAAATCATATTGCCAATATAATTTCTTTTGTGATAGCTTTTTTGATTTTTTTTTTTATATTTTGTTTGGGATGACTTTCTTACTGCTTATTAAAGCGGCTTTTTAGTAAAAAAAATATTATTTTACTAGAAATTTGCTTTAAGAAGCAGTAAGAAAGTCATCCCAAACAAAATATAAAAATAAAAATAAAAAAAGCTATCACAAAAGAAATCATATTGCCGAACATTTTTGGCTAGGTTTTGTGGAGTATATGCTGAACTAAAATTTATTCTATATATATCATGCATGTGCTCATTCATTTCTGTGTAAAAGTGCAGCAGTTCGTAAATTATGTACACCTATTTATTGTGTTAAGAGAGATATATTTGTTTGGCTGATTTGCATAATTATTCAAATTGTTTGAATGTTTTTTTTTTTTTTTTTTTTTTTATGTTTTTTTTTTTTTTTTTTTTGTCATTATAATCACTAGAGTCGTTAAACTATCATAAGGCCTGACCAAATAATAGCGGATTGAAAGAGATCGAGACTGAGATCTTGCAAACTTAATGGTTTGATCAATAATTGATCTTACAAATCATAAGATTTTTTTAAAATGTTTATTCTGAGCTGGTGTGGTTCTTCTTTCTGATCTTTTATATTTATAGCTATATAAACTGCCCCCATTTAAATTAAAGATACGAATGCGAATCGCAAATGAAATGCTTCTCTCTTTCTTGTGCATATTTTAGGGTAAAAGGTCACGATGATGATAAAGCTGAAGCTGATGGGTTGCCATCTAAATTTCCTCCCCTTGAGCCATCACCAGCTGCTTTTCTTTGTGTCATCCACATTGTTTAATTTATGAATTATATTAATGCTAGTGGATGTCAAAAGACTCCATTAAAGGTTTGAGTAAATTTAGCTTCATAAGGTTTTGAGGACTCCTTCATTACTTTCACTTTCGTAAACGTTGCCTCCACTTAATGGCGTATTATTACGCCCGGTCACCGGATGCCGGACATACAATCCAGACGCGCCACGTCACCCAAATACACTGGGACCCGGTGTATCTTGGTGATGTGGTGCGTCTGGATTGGTGTTCGGATGAATCCGGACAGCGGACGTAATAATTTGCTCCACTTAATTATTGTCACAGCCTTCATTGTTGCGTCCATTGAACCGCTCTTACCATCTTTGTTACCTTCTTCTCAGTCTCTCTCTTCTTCCTCGCATGATAAATAACCTCCTCAATTGTCTCTTACTTTGTTATGACTACCTCCATATTTACTTTTGAATTGACATATTCATTGTTGCAAATTAAAGCCTATGCTATTGCTTTTGCCACATATTTCTCCATTGTAGATGCGCCTATTGCTATCACCCTTGCAAATTTTATTTTTTGATTCAATTAAGCTAGTTTTCCTTGAGTTTATTGCATATTAGTCAGGCCCATATTATGCTAAGTCATTACTATCTAGCCACATATATGGAATCTAAATCAATATGTGATCCCCTCAATTGATTGAATGTCATAAGACTTGCCACATATTTTACTTATCTTAAGCTTGATTAGATCATAAAAGGGATATTGACATAACTATCTCATGACTAATTCATTCAAATTTTCCCTCTACTTGATCATTTTCATTCTTCGAATATTGTAAGACTCAATCTTTTAGCTTTAACATGATTCCTAACTATCACTCTCAACCCATCTAATCTATTAATGCCACATGACTACCCATGTATGTATAAATGGCTACACTACACCTCTTTTGCACATGAATAATTGTCCCCACTACGGAAAAATCATAAATTACCGACGGCTGAATTTTTTGGAAATTTTTCCGGTGGCCTAATTTTTCAGGAAAATTTCCGGCGGCTTTCCGGCGATTTGTTTCCGACGTTATTTTTTCTTAATTAATAGATTTAGTTTATTTTAATTAATTATTAATTTAATAACTTATTCTAATCCATTATTAATATAATAACATATTTGATTAATTATTAACTTTAATATTTTATTTTTATTAATTTTAAATTATAATTTTCGTATGATATAATTTAAATAATTGATAATAATATTCATGATACATTTTTCCTATCAGCAAAATGGTTGGGACTTGGCATGCAGGAGTGGACTCAGTTCAAATCCCAGGCAAGGTGAAAAGGTGGGCAGCAGGTGCGCAGCGCGAGCAGGCCTCCAGGCTGGCAGCTAGCAGTGTGGGAGCTCGGGCGGGCAGCACAAGCAGGCTGCCTGGCAGGCAGCAGGCAGGGCGAGAGATCTAGCGGGCAGCGGGCAACTTAGCTCGGGCTGGGCGGGTAGCGCGGGCAAGCCGCCTGGTGGGCAGCCGGGCAGGACGGGGTGGTTGGGCAGCTGGTCAGTTTTTTTTTTTATTAAATTTTGATATTTTTTTCGACGCTTTTTCCAGAGAAACCGTCGGAATTCTTTGCCGCCGGAAAATACCACCGAAAATATTTTCCACGCCGTGTTTTACCGTGGAAAATTTGCCATCAAAACGCCGCCGAAATTACAAAACCGCCGGAAAATGACTTTTCCGTCGAAAATGCTCCGGTAATAATTGATTTTATAGTGCCCATGCTCCAATAATATAAAATGTTGTGCCATCGATGATGAAGTAAGAGTTTTTATACTAAAACATGCTATCCATTGCTCTTATGGTATCTGCTAGTTATGACTAGTCTATTGGTTTAGGGTTATGGCACATGATCATCTCCTATCTCTTAATGTAGACCATATCCTATGCCTCCACCCTAAATTGAATGCACATGCATGACTCACACGCCTCAAAACTTTACATTTATTTTAATACATCAATCATATAGGAGGGATTATATTTTTTGGATTTCATGTTAAATTTATTGAGACTAAGATTATTATGTTGCGATGAGACAATATTAAGAATAAAGAGTTTGATATTAAATTCATCTTATTTCAGCATAATAATACATCATTCTCCCAATCTTCTAGTGGATGTAGACCAATTTAATGAACTACACATAATACAAATTTGTGTTGTCGCTCTCTCCCTCCCTATCTTTCTCATGTAACATTTTTTGTAAACCAAATTTTACCCTCCCCAATTTACTAGCCCATCTTAGAGGATCACCTTCAAAATAAACTTAAAGAACTTTGATTCAGTTTGCTCTCATCCAGGGCGGAACCAGTCATATTTTTAGGGGGGGGGGGGGGGAGTGGCAACTTATAAGTATCTGTTCGCATATATGTATGGAGTCCAAGGGGGCAGCGCCTCCGGTGGGGTTCGACATTTTTGATTTACTATTTCTCATTGTATTGTTCATCATTCCCTAACAAGCACATCTACATAATGCTCTTTTTGTATCCTATTTTTAAAAGTAAAGCTACCAATCTGATCATCCTCGTCTCTACCAACACCTAACTTAATATTACACTTCCTATTTTAACGGCAACATTTTGTACCATAAAGCATTGTGGTTTCACACATCTTATAAATTTTCCCTTATTAAAGGGGGGGGGGGGTTCTTCACACAACAAGCAATCAAGGATATCGAAAACATTACTCTTATAATGAACTTAATCACCCAAAGTTCTACGATCCATCCACTAGATATATGTATACTAAAATTAGACTCCATTATTGAAGTTTTTAAAATCTCTTGAACAAAGTTTTTAAGACTCTAAGTTTACCTGCCCATAATTCTAATGTGACTTAAACTCCCCTCTATTGTTATCAGACTAGAGAATGATCGATCGCAAGAGACCATACACCAATTAGCATGAATATATATATATATATATATAATATATATATATATATATATATATATATATAGTATATATATTATATCCATGATGTGGGAACTCTTGTTTATTTAACATTGCACTGGACGCCGATGCAGCGGCCCTTGCACACTTGTCATTATATTCAGGCCTTACAATGCATCATTTTCAAAATTTATGGTTGCATTAACACAATATATTAAAAGATTCATGTCATGATTATTCGATAGATTTTACACTAGCTATCGACTACCTAACGTAACATTCCACTTTTGTTTTCTAGGACTTGAGACCTAGCAATAATAGTGTTATTTTTTAAAATTATTATAATACTATAAATTTTTGCTTTTGAAAAATTGAATCAACTTTTTTACAATTGTTATATTTTATTAAATTTGATTATAAAAAAATTAGTTCTCATAATAAATAATAAAAAAATATCAACAAAGCTATAGCAAAACAAGACCAAGATTTTTGAATAAAAAATAATCTTATGGAAAAACTTCACTTAATTGAGCATAAGTTGACTTTTTAAAAAATTTGTTGTGGAGAAATTAGTTTTTGAGGTCTATTATGAAATAGGAGAGAGAAAAAAAACATAGGATTTATAGGTCATGGAGTAATTTTAGTCAGCGAGCATGTTAGGAGATTTATTCATCTCATTGTAATGAACGATTATCCTATTCCTGATTTGAATAATTTGATGTTTTTGAGATTTTTTCGGTCAAATTTACATTTTTATTACCGAAAACAACTATAGTTTTATATTGGTAAAATGTTACTACGTAACTTTTTCATGTTATAAAGATTGAGATTTTGATCATTTTGATCACTTTAATTGAGATTTTTCACATGTTAATTTTGAAAAAAAAAATTAATTTTGTCAATTAAAAATTTTATTTTGACATCTAAAAATAGTATTTCAGTTCAATTAAAGCTTCAAAATATTATTATATAAGGCTAGTAATTTAATAATTTTTAAAAATGTGAATTTTTTCTTGATAGGACTTTATGTTGTTTGCCGTTAGAACGTTTTGATACTTTCTAAATTAAGCATAATTATTTACTATAATTCATTAAAAATGAATGTGAATATGTGGTTGAGTAATTGCTGGTCGCTATTACTATTATAATACTATGATAATAATATGTAAGGTGAAGAATCAGTAAGGACTGGTTATTCGATCACTAACTTTGGCTTAAGACTGATTAATCTGTATTGGATGATGGGTTGATTTATTTTCCTTTAAATATGTGATTTGGTGGCATCCTCTACTAATTCATATGACTCATTGATTTGTGAGCTATAAAAGATTATTACTATGCCGACGGGTAAAAAATGATGACTATGTTTACTGAGCCAATAGTTTTATACTAATGCGATGTTGAAAAAATACCGCTTAAACTTCTTACTTATTTAGTGTGACTATTGAAATGCATGCTATTGAGTATTATTCCTAGTACGCACTATGTTGTTCTATTATTTCTGCATGGATTTACTATTAGTATTATTTTACTGCTCTTGCTACAACTAATTTTATTATTACTGATACAAACACTAATATTATTTGATACTAGTGATTCATTGTACTATATTGAATATAACAAGCATGCGATATATTAGACTTTTCTATATTTATCTGAGTTTGACAATTCTTTATTGATGATATGATTTTACTGTTTTATATGATTGATTTATTGATTGATAGTATTAATACGACTATTTATTGATTTGACACCAGCACTGGTTTATTGATATCATCATTCTTCTATTTTATTGGCTTTCATATCTTACTTTTTTATAATTTATAGATTCTATTGCTACTGCATGTGAGCTTTACTATTTATGCACATATTCATGATCATATGTTGTTATTGTTATGATTTGACTTGACTTGCATACTATTTCTTTGTCTTGCTTTGAATTCAGTTGTAGAATTTGGTTGCTTGATGAACTCTTGAGCTTATTGTATGTGGTTTAAATGATTTTAGATAAATGAAAAAGAGCACGAGTGTGAATTGATTATGATCTTTCAGGTTTAGGTTCTTGCTATTTTAGTTATTATTTTGTATTCAATGCAGGATAATATGTTATGATTGTATGGATCTTAAATAGTTTACCTGATTTAATATATATATATATATATATATTTGTGTGGTTCAAAGAAGGATGAAAAGTTAATTGGATAACAAACATAATCTTAGAGTTTATTAGAGACAATTGAGATATTTTTTAAAATTATTATAAAGGTTATTGAAAGAAAATTATATTTTTAAAAAATTATTATGAATATTATAATTATTAAAATATAAATATTTTCTTTTATAATTATTACATTATAATAAATTTAATTATTAAAAATAACTTTTTATTATAAAATTTTTAAATTTGATAAAATATACCTTGTCAAATAAAATATAACGGCGATCACCGCCGGGATGGCGAGGTCCAACTATAAATACGTTTGCCTTTCCATCTTCCTGTATCCTTTCCGCTGTGGCCGTGACATTTACGTACTTTTTTTGGGAGAAACATTTAACCTTCATAGGCGCGTACCTCAACATTCTCAATACTGACAATAATTTCCCTCCTCTTACCCTACGCTCGCTGGTTGTGCCGTTCCTCTTCCAGACAAAACCCTAACCCTTACTCTCAAGGAGGGAGAGACCGGCATTTGGAAACCCTAACCGCCGCCATGGCCTCGCAGACGGTCGTCAACAATCTATACGAGACGGCTTCGCAGCCGGACACTAGCGGCGACGCATATACCTTCCTGGAGTTCAACACCCAGGGAGACGACTACGACTACCCGGAGTTCCAAGAACTCTCCCAGCCGAACAGGTCGCCGACGTGGCGGGCACCGTTGGCGGATACTCAAGGTGACGATCTCCAGTCCCCCGGTCCTAGCAATTCCGTCCCTTCTTCTTCCTCCTTGTCGGCGGCTACGGGATCGCAATTGGTCGGTAAGACTAAGACTGCAGTTGCTTCTGTCACTGTGGACGGGCTTGCGTCGGGAATGAGCGGACTCAACTTTGAGGAGACCGGTGACGATGAGAATTACGAGTATGGGAAAGGGAATTTTACCGAACACGCATGTAGATATTGTGGGGTGCAGAATCCGGCGTGCGTCATTAGGTGTAACGTTCCATCATGTCGGAAATGGTTCTGCAACTCGAGAGGGAACACCTCGGGATCTCACATCGTCAACCATTTGGTGAGTGATTGAATTAATTGCATTTAATCAGCTTAGATCAAAATCACAGTCGTTATGTGACCCAAACCTCACTCTGGAATAGCAACTTAGGTCAAAATCGCTGAATCTTTGTATAACCTAAACCTTCCTTGGAAAGAAAGTGGCATTATTTTTATTGTTTGAAGATTTTGACGGTGTGATTAAACTTAAATGCGTGCGTGCTTTATGAATATAAACTTATTTTGCTTTCTTTTTCACCCTTGCTGCTTGTATGTATTCAGCAGTTTTTTTATGGATGAAATAATTGCACTTCTATGTTTAGTTTATATAATGTTTTTTATCAAGTTTTTCTTTTGGAATAAAGCTTTATTACGATAATGCTATGTTTTTGTTACTCTTAAGTTAAAGTGAAAAGCAGAAAAAGAAGCTTCAACTAGTGAAGTTGGCTTCCTTGTTCTTGCTATCTTGTATTACGTTATACAAAGTAAATTCAGATGTACTTGATGAAATTTAGCATTGTGGTAAGTCTTGGACTATGTTGTTCATTGGGCATAACTAGATTGTTTAGCAGTTCCCTCAGCTATAGTTGTGACTTTTTGGCTTGTTTGTTTGGGATTGGTTTGGTGGTTTTGGCTTTTTTTTTTCCTTGGCTCATGGGATTAAATCAAAACAAACAAGACAGTGCGGAAGAATAAAAAATAACTTAAAGTATAGTTTTGTTACACTTTTGGAGCTGACTTCCTTAGTTCTGTACCAAAAATTGCTTTAGAATTCTTAGAAACATATTTTGCAATTTGATTACCCTGTTACCTATGGCCTTTAGATGCAAAATCAAATTAGGATGGTTGAATAATGGCCAGTTATGTATAGATGGGTATTTGATGCAATCAAAATTTGGAAAAAAACTAAGATTGCAAACACCTATGGTCTTCCTTTCATAAACAATTTTAACAAACACAAACTCAACTAAAATGAAACAAAACGACACCTTACAACTTTTATATTAGAACATAAAAACACAATTCGACTTTCAAACTTAAATAAAAGACATAACACAATGCAATGACACCCTAAAAATACAACTCAAGACACCTTGCAACTTACAAATTTTTAAAGAGAAGAAAGATACAAATGGGGTGGAAACTTGCGGAGACAAGAAGTAGATAAGAAGCCCAAGGCGAAGTCAAAGAGATGAGAAGAAGAAGTGGATAAAGCTCGCAAGTCGCAAGCTATCCTAGAAGAAAAAACTCTCAGGTTTTAGTTCCAAGAATCATCCATTATCTCTCTTTTTAAATGCCACAAAACAACCCTTATTAATAGGAGAAGAAAGGGATCTCAACAGCCAACAACCGCCTACTCAAACCAATCAAAAAAGGGGAGGCAAAAGGCCAACAGGCAGCCGGATGGAGCAGCACACGAAGGGGCTGCGGGACATAGCCAACGAACAGACATCATCAAAGGGAAGGAATCGGGCAGGTAGAGGAAACGAAGGACAAAAAATAGGGGAAATAAACCCGGACAGCAGTAATAAATGCAACAGAAATTCAGCTGCCAACATAAAGGAAATTAAATCCCAGAAATCAACTTCAACATTCAAAACACCAAGCATCCAAAGGAACATGGGCCAAGCCCATTTAACTAATTTCAGCCCACAATTAAATGCCCAAATATGGGTATGACTTGCTTACATCAATTCTCCTTCGGTTGAAAGATCTCATCAGGAGATGAGATGACTTTAGAACTTTGCTGACGAGTTGAAGGGGCCACATCCAATTCTTGAATCAAGGCTGCATATTTTCTCTGGATCATTTTTTTTACTTAAACTGGGCTTGCAAAAGTTTCTTTTTCTTCTTGTATTTTTTCGTACACAGGTACATTTGATATTGAATTTTATACAACTCGTTATGTATGAGATTGGTAGAATTTCCTTGCGTCAGAATCCATTGGCTCATAGGAATAGTTTCTTCAAGATTACCGGGTTTACTTTCTCCAACTTCAGACTCAATTACATCATGATTTTTCATTTTTTCTTCAAGACTTTAAATAAAAGGAAGACTCAACAAAAAACCTAAGCTCTGATACCAAATTGATGCAATAAAAATTTGGAAAAAACTAAGATTGCAAACACCTATGGTCTTCATTTCATAAACAATTTTAACAAACACAAACTCAACTAAAATGAAACAAAATGACACTTTACAACTTTTATATTAGAACATAAAAACACAATACGACTTTTAAATTTGAAATAAAAAAAAAACATAACACGATGCAATGACACCTAAAAATACGACTCAAGACACCTTGCAACTTACAAATTTTTAAAGAGAAGAAAGATACAAATGGACTGGAATCTTGGGGAGAGAAGAAGTAGATAAAAAGCCCGAGACAAAGTCAAAGAGAGGAGAAGAAGAAGTGGATAAAGCTCGCAAGCTATGAAGCACCGACACTTCTCCTCAAAGAGGCGTGTAGTGTCCGACACGACACTATCCCGACACTCCTTCGACACGTGTCAGACATACCGAAAACGTGTCCGATTAAAAAATATTAAATACTAATTGGACATGCGTTTCTTAAATATTTTATGAATTTTTTTAAATATAATTTCTTGTATTTGGCGGGATTTAAAATAATTTTTTTATTTCCTATCTACAAAACCAAATCAACGTCCGCACTTAATACCCGATCATCGAATATTCTCATTTTCATATCTTTTTGGCAGTGAAGGTATTTTCATCTCCTCTCTCGGTGACTGATAAACGACATCGACACCTGACTCTTGACATACTAATATTAATCATTTTAAGCACAAATTCTAGTTAAATGACTTATTATTTTCAAATTATTTTAAAAATTATACTTATTTAATTTTTATACACTATTTTTTAAATATAAAATGAGATTTTTAAATTATCGGTGGTTATTTTTGTCCTTCATAAAGAGTCAGGGGAACATTTTGAACTTTATCACTTTTAACATAGAAAAAAAGTTGAAATGGTGCATATATCAATTAACTAATTACGTAAGTTACAAAGTATCAAGTAATAAATTATACAAAATAGAATTTAATCCAAACTTCAAAGTGACAAGATATCAAATTGAAGCAAAATATCACATAGGTTTAACATAATAAGTTTATCTCTCCCTCTCCCACTCTTATTGTCTAACATCCAACTAAGAATATAACAAATAACTAATCAGAAGCCCTCAACACTTTCATCACTTAGGGACTCTTTATTAGAGTCATCATCATTATGAAAACCTTTCTCCCTTGCCCATCTTTAGTTGCATCCAAGTTCTCCCATTCTTCATTCTATTCTTCAATCTCAGTAATTATCCTCTTCTTTAATCAACAATAATCAATAAGAAAATAAGAATATTAATTAAATTTTAAAATAACTTCAAATATGTAAATTTTGATAGATATCTTTTTTTTTTCAAATTATTTTTGTCTTGTGTTAGACATATGTGATATTATTTCCATTCCTATCAAAGAAATCAACATTTATATATTCTTTTTGCAAATCAGATGATGTGACATTATTATCAATATCTACAAATCATTCATCATATGATGACACATCATACAAAGGGATATTCACCATCCTTCAAATCCTTTTTTCTTCAAATTTTCATTCTTGAATCTGTTATAGTACTTGGATGTACATTAAGGAGTTAATTCTTAAGGTAATCGGATGATTTCTCCTTTTTGTGTGAATTTGATTGTGTACACTCTAATTTTGCACACATTGATATCATTGATATGAAGAACATGTTAGTACCAATACCTTAACAACTAATCATTATAGCTTTGGATCGCCATCACCAAACCGGATCTACCATTCAACTAAATTGGAAAGAAAAAAGTATAGTTAGAATTGTGAAAGTCTTTCCTTCAATCAATAAATATTAAAAATTATATAGATATTGTTTTGCAAATGCATCTTTTGTTTTTTGTGGTCCAAAGATTTTTTTTTTCATTTCTGAATGGTACAAGTTGCATATTTGTAGTCTCCATCTCAGTTGAGTTGGCAATTAATCTATCCATGCAATTGTATAATCCTAACTTGATCTTAATAATGGTTGACTCATTCTTGGCATCTTGGAATTGAGGATTAAGCCATTAAGGTAATATCTAGTAGCTTGCAAATGATAATGGAGTTAATGCTCTTACTTTTCATGAATGATATCTCAAATCTCCTTATAATTGGACTCTCCCTCCTAATTTATGTGTTATTAACTTCTTTGTATCATCCATTGCATTGTAATTAAAACATATAGCTAGCTTTTTATCTACATCCACCATCCTCAAAACTTGAATAAATGGTTTTGTTATTTTTGCATGTGTAATACTCAACCAAAATCTTTCATTCATAATAATCTTCCTAACTTCTTTCTCTCATGTTTATTTGCTCAAGCACATCTTGGCCATCGTGTGGAAGTGAACATATCCTCTAATAGTTGCCTAGCTTCCAACATACTCTATAGAGCTAAATAGGTTGTAGCAAATCTAGCTATCTATAGTAAGGCCTAGAAATTCCTTTTTAGGATATTTTCTCATCAAAGCCAAAAAGCTATGAATGGCTGTAGATGAAACTTCTTATCTTCTTTGTTTTGGTCAATGCATTTTTATGCTAAGGCAAGTCACCAAGCTTTAATAAAATTAAATCTATGCAATGTGCAACGCAAGGTTTTCAAAACATATGTTTCTCCATCAATTTATTCTCGGTTTCCCTATGAGCACTACCATTATCTGCACGGCTTGCACCATCAAATGCTCTCAAATCTCATACATAACTCCATCATATGGTCCAAAAATAAATTCTGCATCATTGACCTGATCAAATGCTTTAACTTATTTAAAAAAAGTTGCATAAAAATTATTAATCAAAACATTAATCATATTTTTATTCTTCATGTCAGACATGATTTTCACCATAGTTTGACTTCAAGTCCTTCAAAGGCGATGACTTTTTCAGTATTGTTCAACACCTTATGATGTGAAACGTACATGCGATGGAGTTACTTTAGAAAATTATAGAGAGCAATTGAAACTTAATAACCCAAAATAAAATTATCGTTTATAATAAAAGAGTGATCATTAGAATTCGTGGTTTTAACTTGCTTAGGCAAGGATGAGCAAAATCCGGAAACCAAACAACTTAACTTTGGGGTGGGGGGCAGCCATCCACTTGATCTGGACTCCTTGGACAGCAACCTGATGTTTCTGGACAGCAGCTTTTAGGCTCTATCGGAGGCACAAGGCTTAGGGGAAAATGGTGGGAGATTGAGTGGACAGCTGTGGGGGGAATAAACGTGAAAATCCAATTAATCTCTCGGTTACAATCTGAATTAATTTCAGACTTTAACCCAGCAGGAATTAATCCAAACCCACAATTTGAATTAGGGAATTAATTGCAATTAGTAGTGCAATTAAATGGAGAGAGAGGGGAGGGAGGTAGCCGGCCCAAGGAGAGAGGAAAAAGGGGATTTGAATAAAAGTTTGTGGGCCCCACAAGATTAGTAACAGCTTAATTCAAAATCCTGAATTTAATTCTCAGGTTTTCAATTAATCAATAGATTTAATTGAGAGAGGGAATTAAGGGGGCAGTTAGTATTCAAATTAATGGCTAATTTGAATTTCAAATTTACCCTTAATGATGAGTCTCCCAATTAGGAAATATTTCAAACAAGATGCCAAAAAAAAGGGAAGGGGAGGCCGGCCAAAATCTGGCCGGCGGCAGGGTGGTCCGGCGGCTGGCTGTTGGTCGGCGGAAGGACTGCAGGCCGGCGGCCTGGGCAAGCCAGGGAGGGGCGGTGGCCGTGAGCAAGAGAGGGGAATCAGTAGGGGAGAAATCTTGGGATTCAAGCGTGGATTCCACTCTTCACAAAATGCTTCAACCGGATCTCCACGACGACAAATCGATCACAAGAAATAAAGGAAGAAAATGGTAGAATAAGAAGATCTAGAACTCACAAAGAGATCTAGCTCTTCTCAAAACTCACTAAAAGATTTGAGAGAGAGGAGGGTGAACTCACAAAGAGATCATAAGTGGAAAAAATTCTTCATTCATCACAAATTGAAATTACAATACATGAGGCCTCATATAAATAGGCCACAATGAAAAAAAAAAAGAAGAAATGACACAAATGCCCTTTCGGGCTACATAAGCGACTAAATGCCCATAAGGGCAAAAGCGGAAAAACATCAAAATAAAATACGCTACTACATAAAATGACAAAGTACAAGTCATGCTCGTGGCCGTCGATCTCCGGCGTCGAAAATGCTGACGATGTCCTCATCACCTTAACACCCAATTTCTCAAATCACTCACTAGTGACTGTTTTAGGCCTCAACCATAAGCACCTTTGGAACGAATTATATTGAAATTAAGTGGATGTTGCCACATTAATTCTTATAAAAAAACCTTACAGTGTTCATACATACATGCTTACGCATCTCTAGCATTTTCAAGAGACATCTTCTGAGGCACCCTTTCCTCATCTTTGACAGGCCCCAACATTAATCATGTATCAATCCATTGGCCCCCTTGCACCTCTACATGATATGGGTGGTCAAGAAGATGAGGAATATTTACCAATAAGTCCCATTTCCATAATACGAAAGAACATTTATTCTATCATCAAATTATTTTTGTGCTTAATACTTTGACATTGTTGCCTTTATATATGAATCTCCTTTTTCATCGCCACCTACATATTGGCGCACGATGCAACATTCTTGTGAGAGCCAGAAAGTTGCTCTTTCATTTTGGTAACATCTCCTTTCACGAAATTCTCACAATACTTGCACTTTAAATAATTACAAGTTTGTCATTTCCTCTAATGTCAAGTTGCATGCTATGCCTCCATGCTAGGTATTTTTTGTGACATGTAGATTTCTCCTTAAATCTAGCCATTTCTTACAAAATCTTAGAATGAAAATTTTGTTTAAAATATACAAATATTCAAAGAAATAAGAAGTGATACTTATTATAAAGACAACAACACTTTTTTTGGGTTTTTTGAGAGAAAATTCCTGGTAATTATGTCTAGAAGGTGGAGATCTTATCCAGCAATTGAGTGGTTCATTTGCTTGTCTTCTTCAGTTTCTTTTGAGAATTGGCTTATCTATTTGTAATTATCCTCCACAGGTTCGAGCAAAGCACAAGGAAGTTTGCCTCCACAAGGACAGCCCACTGGGGGAAACGATACTTGAGTGCTATAATTGTGGATGCCGTAATGTTTTCCTACTTGGATTTATTTCTGCAAAAACAGAGAGTGTTGTTGTTCTGCTGTGCAGAGAACCTTGTTTGAGTGTCAATGCACTGAAAGACATGAATTGGGATCTCAGCCAGTGGTGTCCTCTGATTGATGATAGGTGTTTCCTTCCATGGCTTGTCAAGGTTTGTTATTTTTGTATGACATTCTTTTCATTCCCTGGTTGCTTGAGGTAACTAGCTTAATTATTTCATATTTCCAGGTTCCTTCTGAACCGGAGCAGCTGAGGGCACGACAGATTACTGCTCAGCAAATTAACAAAGTGGAAGAGCTCTGGAAGACAAATCCCGAAGCTTCATTGGAAGATCTTGAGAAGCCTGGGGTTGATGATGAGCCTCAGCCTGTGGCTTTGAAGTATGAAGATGCATATCAGGTTCTGAATCTCACTTAGATTGCTTTCTGTTGCAGTTTTTTCTTTCTGTAGAAATCTGATATTTTTCTGCACTTGTGGGCAGTATCAAAATGTATTCGCCCCACTAATTAAGCTTGAAGCAGATTATGATAAGGTACCAAGGAATGACACTCTAGTGTTGTTAAATTGTGGCGTGCTTTATTTGATATGACATTTTATGATCATTTTGTAGTGTTTATATTTGTTAATAACTGGTTGATCCTTCTGCTTGGCTTATGCTATTAGATGATGAAGGAATCTCAGAGTAAAGATAATGTAACTATCAGATGGGATATTGGCCTCAACAAGAAGCGAATAGCCTATTTTGTCTTTCCCAAGGTTGTTTGGTGTCTTTTTTGTTTTGTTAAACAATTAGTGCATAATTTTCCGTTTTTGTTCATACTTCATTTTGTTTATCATGCTTTTTCTTTTCAATAAATTCAAAATTTAAAGAATTCTGTAGGAAGATAATGAACTAAGGCTTGTTCCGGGAGATGAGTTAAGGCTGCGATATTCTGGTGATGCAGCTCATCCTGCATGGCAGTCTGTTGGACATGTGGTATTCAACTCTTGATTAAGATGATGTTTTGAAACTATAAACTTACATTGATCTCCAAATTTTGCATAATTTCATTTTATATATCTTTTGGATTTTAATACATTTTTTTAAAAAAATAGATTAAGCTTACTGCTCAAGAGGAGGTTGCACTTGAGCTCCGTGCTAGTCAGGTAGGAACATGATTTTAGTAAATTATCATCATGCCTTAATTGGCATAACAAGTAAATGACAATTTTCTGCTTTCAAACCAGGGAGTTCCTACAGATTTGAACCATGGATTCAGTGTAGATTTTGTTTGGAAGAGTACTAGCTTCGATAGAATGCAGGGAGCAATGAAAACATTTGCTGTGGATGAAACGAGTGTTAGTGGGTAAGCAAGTGGCTTCTTGATCCTGTTGTTCAGTTAGTGTACGAGCTTTGTAATATTCTTCAGGGAGTGTACTATGAGCACAAAGTTTTAATGAATTAAGCTATTATGATATTGTTTCCATGCAAATTGTAAGTGTCCTAATGCCAAATTCTTCCAAAAAAACATTCCCCAATGATGCAGATTGGACATGTAAACAACATATTCCATAATTCTTTTTTTGATAAATAGTGGCTTTTGTCCACTTGATCTTTATTTGACAAGTATTATGTTGATGCCTGCCATAGCAGGTAACATGCATGGGCATGGCAGCCATTTTATTTTATTCTTTCATTGGCACTGTTTTCTCTTTTAGCTTGTGAATGCTGTTTATTGTGAAGATAGCATATGGAGTAGGGGCTAATGTGCATTTGTAGCTCCTTGATCACGTCCATTGATTTCTTGTATGCAGATACCTGTACCATCATCTTCTTGGCCATGAAGTTGAACTTCAAGTAGTTCGAAATTCACTTCCTCGACGTTTTGGTGCTCCAGGGCTCCCGGAGTTGAATGCATCTCAGGTATTGTTTTACTTGGATTTTTTTTTGTTGGGGTAAAAAAAAAAGATTCATGTTGGTGGATTGAGAGCGATTAGTCTAAAGATATTTACACAAGTAGAGAGAGCATATATATATATCTATATGTATTATAAAAATGAAATGTTAAACAAATCTTTTTTAATGTGCCATTGACTGCTGATGAAAATTTGAGTATTTATACTCATTGAAAGTGCAAGAAATGGGCATTGAGATGAGTTTGCTATTCTTTTAAGTATTGGTGGTATTCCAATTATCTTATTTTTTAGTTTCTAATGTTTTTGGATGTAAGGTCACGCCCATATATTTTTCTGATTCCCCCCCAAAGAAAAACATTCTCGAATTGTTGCCTAGAGGTGATCTCTTGCGTAGAGGTGCTCTCTAGTGTTTTGGTTAGTTTGGTGGGTTTTTTCATGTCCACCAATTGTTTGATTCAATTATAATTGATTTTCTTAATTAGTTATTCTAATCCTTTTATTATTGTTTTTTGTTCCTACCGGTGATTGTTTTGGTATATTGTAGACATTTGTTGTTGTTTTGGCCTTAAATGTAGTTGTTTGCCATTTTTTCTGAAGTTTGTTGCTACTGTCTTGTGGTTCAAGTGCTATATCCCTGCTTATTGGTGCAGATGTTGCCTTGTGTGCATATATTGTTGTGTTCAGTGAGTTAAGTGACGACTAGGATCTATTAATAAGCCCTTTGTAATCTCCTAAGCTTGGCATTAGGGCCCATCTCCAAGGTTTTATGGGTCCCTGCTAGAAATCCTATGGTCTTTATATGGGGTTACCGGTCCTTCCTTGCTGATGATGATCAAGGAATGATTGCTAGGTGGAGGATCTGGCGACGACTATGAGACAATAAAAAATCCTTACATGAAAAGATGGTGGGAGGGTGAAAAAAATTTTACCTCCAATGGGGCTACAATTGTAGGGAACCGAGAACTCTGATGGCCTTGTTAGAAGCACAAAACTAAGTAAACTAAGAGGGAGAAGAACCAACAATGTCTAGCGATGGAAACTTGTTTGAATTGGTTGTTGTGGGCTACTAATAAGTGGTTCGAGTAGAGGGTACGGTGGCTTTGCGCTAAGGATTGTTGAGTAGAGTTCCAAAAATTCCAACTTTGAGGGTGCCCAATGACAAAACCCGACCTTCGGGAGAGAAAATTCAAGATTCAAACCTCTATGGAGAATTTATAAACTTCAAACATTAGGAGAGCGATCTTGAAAATGTGACCATGAGGATTTGAAAATTTAGATTTTCTGGAGGTCCATTTGGGCAATCTGTATAGGTAAAGGTTGCATGAGATGGTGAGCTGGAGGAGAGAGAGTGGAGGTAGGTGAACCTTGATTACCACACCATTGATTGGATAAATGGATAGGCTCCAAGAAGTAAGCCTAGGGCGCTCAAAGGATGCTGAGAGCTGTCGAGAGGATGACCTAGGATTACTTATATAGCCATTGATGAAATCCAGATCGTTGAGGAGTTGATGAAGTAATCAACCTATAAGAAAGGCGACTTAAGAATGAAGATGGCCAGAGTAGGAGGCGACTTTGAGTGATGTTGAATTTTGGAATGGAAACTTGAAGTTGACTACTTGGAGAGGGCATCTCGAAATTGGGACAACTTGCTGAGATGCTGATAATTTGAATTCATGGAGAGGACTTGGGGAGTGTGAATCAACAAATGGGAGATTTCAAAAGGAAGCCATGATGCATCAACACTCCTTCCGAAGGACGTATGTAGTGTCCAACATATATTATACTGGGCTTGGGCATATTTTGGACACAACAATGACGTGTTAATTTAAAGACACTGAACACGCATGTCCAACATGCATGTATGAATATTTCGTTAAAAATATTTAAAAATATAATAATATTTTCTTAAAAAATTTCTTATGTTGCAGTCGGCTCGCATGCCGCATTCCTTTAACATTTTATTAAGTGTGTCTAGAGTTTTACTTTGAATGCTTGACGTCATAAATTAAGTGTGTCTAGAGTTTTACTTTGAATGCTTGACGACAACATATGATGGCGTCTCATATATATCTGATGATGTTTGAAGGCTGCTCGAAGACTTTGTTCGACATGGCTTGAACAATCACTCCCCGCTTCACCATCGTCGTCGTTCCATCGCTGTCTCAACTTAGATGGACGACACCCTATCGACATCGCTGTTGTTTTCCCTCTTGACGCTAAAGTTTGCAATTATGATTTCGAATTAAGGACACCTTGCTCTCAAAATCTGCAGTGCATCAATGGCAAGAGACATTTCTACTCATATGAGGAACTTCTTGTTTTTGTTTTCATATTTAAAATAGTGTTGGGGGCATTTCTACCAATATGATATTTTTATTGAAAATTTAGTCCTACGCACTATTATTAAGATATAAAAATTATAATGCCATGTCCATTGTCCATGCCATAATCATGTTATATATTTTCAATTATTGATATATCCCATGTCAATATCATGACGTGTTTGTATTGCCGTGTCTGTTCTATTCATCCTAGAATGGAAGTTGGCCAAGGGGCGAGGTGTAGTCGATAGGGTGATGAGATAGTCATTGGAAATATGTTGACAAGATAGAGGGCGAAGTAATGAGATGAGCGTTAGCAAGTGCAATGTGCAGAGAGGCAAAGGTTGTCAACCATGGAGCCGCATACAAGGAAGTTTCTCACAAGAAGTTGATTGTTAAAAGTAGGTGCTTATATTAGAAAGCTTTTATTTAATGATGTCAGACAGACTTGAATCACTCGAATGGCCTTGAACAAAGTAGACTAATATTGAGTGACTCCCAAATGGAGGCGAACAATTACTATCATTTCTTTTGCTATCCGCATAATCTCTTGTTGGTTTACACTTGTGATTGAGGATTTATCAAATTTGCAAACAAATTATTTTCCCTTTCGGTGCAAGTCTAGATCATTGTGTTGTTTTAATTAATTCTCAAATTTCTTACAAAATTTTAGATTTTGGTGTCTTTTAAATTATTGTTTGGAGCAAATTAGACGTGTTCTTTCATTTTGCATCAATTGAGATTAATTTTCTATCAAAAATAGTGGAGAATCTATAAATTGTAATTATTTTTGCATTCCATTCTAGTTATGCATTAATGAATTAGAACCTAAAACATCCTAGCATCCGATATCAATTGTACTCTAAATGTTTCAAGCGACTGGAAATCAATATGCAAATATATATTTTGACTGCTCTTAGCTTAATATTATAAAATGGAACGTTGCAAACTTTCCATTATAAACGTGTCTCATAAAGATTGGGACTGTTTTAGCTATTATGTTTTTCTATGGCTTACTGAAAAACTATAGTGTCAAGAGTAACGTGTATATTGACCTATCCATTGTTGCTGGTCTAATGTCAAACTTCAAATTTCGTCATGGACATTGTCATTGATTATCATCTCTATCATTTAATTTGTATCATCTGGTGTTTTTTTAAGTTAAATATTACAATTTTCTGAATTTAAATCACATTTGGAGGCTGTATTTGAGAGTATTGTCCTGTCGTGTTGTTTGCTAATAATTAAAATCGTACACAAGATTTTGTTATTTGTTATGGCCGTGTAATTGTTGTGCTCACATTTTTATTTTCAAAACAGGTTTTTGCTGTTAAGAGTGTTCTTCAGAAGCCAATTAGTTTAATACAAGGTCCTCCTGGAACTGGAAAAACAGTCACGTCTGCAGCACTTGTGTACCATATGGCTAAACAAGGCCAAGGACAAGTACGTATGGGCACGTGGTTTACAGTGGCATATCCATCATTTATTGGCATGCTGTCTTTTTATTTTTATGCAGGTCCTCGTGTGTGCCCCAAGTAATGTGGCCGTTGACCAACTGGCTGAGAAGATTAGTTCAACCGGATTAAAGGTATTATGATTATTTTTATGAGTAGTAATTCTACTTTGATGTAGAAAACTTTCTAGCAGTGGATGATGTATAATGTAAAGTATCAGGGATAGTTGACCTTGGTATATTTCATAGTTCTGATGCATTTAATACATAGATAGGTTGATGTAAAGTTTATTTTCCTCTATTATGACATGCCATAACATAAGTAGATCACGTTTTGATTCTTTTTTCAAATAAATTGGAACTGTTCAAAGTAGCCAAAGTTTTATTCAAAATTTTAGGTAAAAATGTTGCAGATGAGAATATGCAAGATCTTATGTTGATAGCATGTTATTCAATTGATAGAATGTTATTGAAATACTAAAATTTTAGTTCATTGCATGTTAATTAGGTTGTTAGGCTCTGTGCTAAATCAAGAGAGGCTGTAAGTTCTCCCGTTGAGCACCTTACCCTTCATTATCAGGTAACATTAATTTGATTTGTTCTGGTACATTCATTTCTTCTGGATATGCCATACTAATTTCATTGGCACATTGTGCTGATCTGGTCATAAGTGTGTTTTTTCAGGTGCGTCATCTGGATACATCTGAAAAGAGTGAACTTCATAAGCTTCAACAACTGAAAGATGAACAAGGTATTCTTTGACAATTCTGAGTTTATAGGCAGTCTAATACTCAACTATAAAATTTATTTTTGTGGTAAACTGGAAAACCTAGTGCCTAGTGCATACATTGCTTCACAAATCTAGCCGGCCAATGAGTAGGCCTTAGTCCGTGGAGGGGAGAAGAGAATCCTTTTAACGTCTGGAAAAGCTATTCGGTTTTATTTGTTCGAGACCATTTGATTGGTTCAGGTTTTTTAGGAACTTTCAGTTGTATGATATGCCTGAAGTGAATACTGGTTGGCAATGGTCAAGAGTACTTCACCATCAACGCAAAAAAGGATTTGATTGACACATCCAAATCTACAATAAATGGAAAGAAATGCAAGGAAACTAGATAAACATTAAAAAATTGTCTTTTATATTGGGTACAAAACCAACAAAAATTGGAAACAAATGCAAGGAAGCTAAATAAACATTAAAATATTGTCTTTATATAGGGTACAAAGCTGAATAAATTCATTTCCTAAAAATGATGAGGCAGCTCGGCCATTCTGAAGACACGTGAATGGGTATAAGTTTCATTAGAGCCCTTGAATACTATATTCATTTAAGTGTTTGACTTATGAGCATCTGCTGAGCTAAACTTGACGGGAGCCTCCCTCAGACATGTTCTCCTCTTGTGACAACACATGATCGAGAGTAAAAACTGTGAGATAAACTTAGTGGAAGAATTCTTTGTGCATTAAAAATTGTATTAACAATAATAGCTTAATGTGCTCTTATGAAAGGCTTTATTTGTCTCGAATGGATCACTATGGTGAGAAGTTGCTGTAAACATAGGTGACAATTTTTAAGGAAACCATGGATATGCTTTCATGTATATACATGACATTCATACCATAACATGTTTTATTTCTTCAAGTTGCATTCTATGAGGTATGTCAAAGTTTAACGACCCTTGACATGTTGTGTTGATTTCCGTGTTAAAAGGCTTTTTCCCTTCAATTATTTACAACAACAAATATGATATTTGTTCAGACCTGTCTGCCAACTAGAGAGTCCACTCAGTTTTTATAGCTTAAAGTTCTTACTGCTAAAACACCATCCTTTCTAGGGCTGCAAATGAACTGAGCGTTCGATGAGCTACTCGTGGCTCAGTTCGATAAGAGTTCATTTATGTTCGTTTGATAAGTTAAACAAACAAGTTTGAACACCTTTGATAGATACTCGATAGGTAAATAAACAAGCTTGAACAACCTTGCGTTCGGCTCGTTTATGTTCACGAACAATATCGTTTAGAGCTCGTGAACATGCTCGTTAAGAAGCTCCATAAAGAAGCTCATTATTTCAAATTTAATTAAAAATAAATATTATATCTTATTTAACTAATAAGATGATTAAATCTTATGTTATTTAACAAATTTTAAATATATATAAATTTATTGTTTGTTTTAAAATGAAACTTAAGTAACTTTTTTAACAATTTTTTTTAAATAACCTCTCTCTCTCCCTCTCTATATTCCCGCCCGCCCTCTCTCTCTATATCTAAAGTTTCACATTTTTTTCATTCTCCCGCCTGCCCCCTCTCTCTCTCCTCCGTGGCATCAACACTAAAAAAACTAAAAAAAAAAGATGTGAGGTTTAGTCCCACACCGCCTTGTGTAAAGTGTTTTTGCTATATAAAAACATATTCATGTGGAGACCATTTGCTGGACATCGGACGAACGAGCTGGCGGGCGAGTTTTCCTGGTCGGGTCGGTAATGAGCTGCTCGACTTGTTTTTAATAAAAAAAAATTATTTTGTGTTTGAAGTAGGCTCGGCTCCTTAACGAGCCGCTCGATAAGCTTGAAGCTAAACGAGCTCAAACCGAACATGAGCTGAACTCGAACAGGGAAGTTTTAAATGAGCTCGAGCTCGAGCTCGAATGGCTGTTCAAGAAGCTCGACGAGCTTTGAACCAAGCTTGAACACTGTTTTGACAAACGAGCTTGAACTCGAACAGGGTGAAGCTCGGCTTGGATTGGTTCGTTTGCAGCCTTGATCCTTTCCATCACCATTGCTCATTATACATTTATCCTTCTAATATTCATACATTCATAAAGAAAGGATGGAGACCGTCAACACACCCCTTATTGGCTTCAGAACCATTGAGAACATACCTGTATATTTTTCCTTCGCTAGTATGATAGTGTCCATATTCATACAACTTAGCACAATATTACTCAAAGAGTTTGGTGATATTTTTGTTTTCTTCTTTTAAAAAGTTCATGAAGCATGTTGAGCAACCTCAACTGTTTCCTACTTTAATGAATAAATGATCTTGTTTTCAAAAAAATTCAACCTTGGAGTTATTTTTTTTCCTTGATCTAAAACTTTCGATAAACCATTTTTCAACTAGCTTAGATATTATAACTCTGATCATTAGCTTACTAATTTTAATGTGCAACCTAGCAAAGTAGTGGTCCATATTTTTGTTTTTACTTAAAATATAAACATGTTTCTATTTTATTTGAAAATGAAAAAAAAAGGAAAAGAAACACAACAATGACAACTTGATGCCATATATGGCTTGCTTTTCTTTTTTAATCATGCAGCAACGGGATCTTGTTATATTTGAATTTTCAAATTTATCAGGGGAAACGTGCTGCTTAAGATTAGCTGGTTTAATGATTTTGAGCTTTAGTTTTCCACTTAGTCAATTACTTTTTTAAGCATCTTCCTTCATGACTTTCGATTTTCATTCACAACTTTTTTTTGTATGCTGCTAAATCATATGAAAATGAATAAATGTGGTACTCTCTATCTACCTGAGTAACTTATTTATTTACATGCTCACTCATAGCTACCTACATAAATTCGTTGCATAAATTATTATATGGTCTATTGTAATGTATATATATATATTATATATATATATATATATGTATATATATATATATATATATATATCTTTCCCAGCTTTCATATCGCAAGAAAGTTGAGAGGTGTCAATTCCTCCCATTTAAGATCTACCACACATGCCTTATGTTTGACTGATTAAATTTTGATTTAGGTGAGTTATCGAGTAGCGATGAAAAGAAGTTTAAGGCATTGAAACGAGCCACAGAGCGGGAGATACTTCAGAGTGCAGATGTCATTTGTTGCACTTGTGTTGGTGCAGGTGATCCTCGGTTGGGAAACTTCCGGTTTCGCCAGGTAGGTTGAATAAAGGCTCTTTTACTCGTATGCAAGACCTTTATGCATCATTTAGTTATTCTTTTGCATTATCTTTTGTTGTTTCATTTTGCTATTTTAGGTTCTTATTGATGAATCCACCCAGGCAACAGAACCAGAATGTCTCATTCCTTTAGTTCTCGGAGTAAAGCAGGTGGACTACGGAAGAAATCATTGTTGTTATTAGACTTGCAATTTAATATGATTATTGTTATTTTTTTATTTTTTATGTTTGTGTCTTATGTTTTTTTTTTTTTTTTTTTTTTTTTTTTTTTTTTTATTTTTTTTTTTTTTATGGTGGTGGGGATTCCCTTTAAGTTTTCTTGATATATAAATGAAATTTTATTAAATTAGGTTGTTCTTGTTGGAGACCATTGCCAACTAGGCCCTGTCATTATGTGTAAGAAAGCAGCTCGCGCTGGATTAGCACAATCTCTCTTTGAGCGTCTTGTGCTTCTTGGGCATAAGCCTTTCAGATTACAGGTACTGGCTTTTATCTTTTTTTTTTTCCCATAATTTTTTTCCTTGAGGCTTAACTTATCTCATGATTTGGACGTTGCAGTTTGTTTTCATGGTTACTAAGTTATTTAGTTTTGTTCCATTGTGCACTATAACACTGCTATTTTGATATGACTTTGTATTACCATTTGTTTCAAGGCTTATTGGATACCTTTTTATTTGTTTTTGGTGTATCATGTTACCTACTTAGATAAAATAGTTCAACATTTGATTATTCTTGAAAGTAGTTCTACTTGATCACAAATATATTTGCACTTTTAAAGAAAGAATTAAAATTTACTTGAAGAATGCAAAAAGCATAGCCAAACAAACATATGGGGATACTGTTGGGTAGATATCTTAAAATTGAATAAGAAAATAATCATTTGCGTTCAAACATCATTAAACTTAAATGAAGAGGAAAATTGGAATACACATAATGACAACAACAACATCAAGCCTTTGTCCCACTACGTGGGGTCGGCTACATGAATCCTTTGGCCAATATTCGACACCATAAAGCATTGCAGGTCTCACCACCATCTTATAGAATTTTCCCTTAAGTTTGAGGGGGACTTTTCTATCGCACAATAAGCTCGATGCATTCCTCCACTTCAAACATCCAACTTGAATTCCGCTGATAATATCCCCATCAATTTCACCATCACTCTGAACAATAGATGCAAGATATCTAAAATGTGTACTCTTATTAATGACTTGATTGCCTAAAGTCACAATCCCCTCACTAGGTCTATTGCTACTAAAATTACACTCAATATATTCAATTTTAGATCTCCTCAAGTGAAAACCTTTAGACTCTGAAGTTGACCTCCATAATTCAAGTTTACCTTCAACTCCCTCTCTAGTCTAAATGATTCATGTCATGATTATTCGACAAGTTTTATGCTGGCTGTCGACTACCTAACGCAACTCTCCACTTTTCTCATCCAGGACTTGGGACCTGGCAACGACAGTGTTGGAATACAAATAATGAGTTAAGTATTACTATAGGATCAAATGGCTAACTGCATGAATGATGTAGGCAAGGGGGGGGGGGGGTCAACTTAGGCCCAAATTAAATCAATTTTGGCCTCTCCCGAGTCTTCAAGCTCACAGAATTTTGAGCTGGAATTTAGCTCATTTATGAGCTGATTTTTAGTTCATTTATTGGACTAGAGGTTAGCTCATTATTAGCTAAGTTTTAGCTCATATTTATCTTCTATTTAATGCACTTTTATTATAATTTTTAATGTTTTAAGTTATGGCGTCTCTTGGGTTCCAAAAAGGCTTTTGGAATCCCAAGATTGATGTTTTATTTTCCCATGTGTGGCTCCTTGAATTTCACCATGGCTTTTTGTGCCTTTTGCCCCTTGGAATTCCGGCCGGCTGCTGGTTTTCCCGTGCATGGGCTCTTTCCCGTTACCGTGCCCCTTGGTTTCGGGCGGTCTCCTTGGTTCCCGTGGATGTCTCTTCGGTTCCTTGGCTTGGAATGTTTTTTAGGTATTTTAATGCTATGTGTTGTTTAGAATTTCTATGGGAATTTATTAGGTGTCTCTTGGTATTCCTCTTTCATACCTATAAATATGGGAGGATTTGTAATGTTTAAAAAAAAGTGAATGATATGTTATTTTTGGAAAAGCTATAACCTGCAGGTTTGCTTCGGAAATTCTGCGGGCTCTTTCCACCCTTCTTTCTCATCCCCTCCAGAAATCCTGCGGGCTCTTTCCACCCTTCTTCTTGGCTTCTAACCTCTTTCGTCTCTCCGCAAGTGCCACTCCACCTGTATCATTCTTCTCAAAGTAAAGCAACTTTAGGGTGTCGTCAAGTGATTGAGTCAAGTTTGTAAGTTGGTTAAATTTTGCAAGAGTCATTGTTGTAAGTCTTTTGATTTCTAGTTTTTTTAGTTTATTTGAAATGTAAGAGTTTGTTCTTCCTTTTCTCTCTTTAGTCATTTTCCAGTTCGAGGAGTAGTCTTTCTTTTTTAAGTCTTCGAGATTGTGGGCGAAGGGTATAGTCACCCCTATATTTTTTGCCCGCATCAATGAAGAAGCTTGTAAAGAAATTTGACAGTAAATAAGGTTCTATGAGATTTTGTAGGAGCAGATTAAGAGTAATTAGAAGACATGTGCTTATAAACACGCAGACATACATAAAAGAGATATTTGTTTCACACAATTTTCTTTTGGCTTATTTTTAAATAGTAAATTATGCAATTGGAAAATTTTAGCCATTCACTGTCACTGAAAAGTTGAAGATCATTTATCATGCATCAAGGATACAGAAGTAATATCCTAACAGATGTTTTAGATAGTGAGATAAATTTTTCATTAAATTCAGTGAGATAAAATTTTCATTAAATTCATAATGCTCGAGTACTCGAATCAGATATAATTTTATTTATTTATTTATTTTATGCTTTTTTTGGTTATCGGTTTGGAAGTTAAATTATGTTTTGTCAAGATTGTTGCAAAATAGGATTCTATCATGTGTGCAAATGTCAACCGCTTGCTTGGCTTTCTGTTAGATCAGTCACTGGATTGGCTCTGTTTTATCGGAAGCAGAACAAAAGTTCCGCCCCATAGGTTTCGTTCCCTTCTGCGTGAGGTGTAGCAGCTATCAATTTAGAAGGAATTAATGTTATTTAGGAGGGAAAATTCAAATGAGGGTCTGTTTAGGGATTTCCTTTATTTTTTGTATGCTTTAAGTGTGATATATTTCGGTTAGGTTATCTCTGATTTTTGGCTGAAATTAGTTTATTCTAAAGTTTGTTTGGGCTTTAGCTTGCGACTATAGACCAAGAGAGCTGGATTGATGTAGGACCAAGTATGTTTAGATAAATGCGATAAGAATTTGCACGTTTTGAATAAGAGCAGTTAATTATTTTGAACGTTAGCCATTAAACGAAAATAGAAAAACTAAAGAGGGGTGGCTACGCTTAGGCCAAATCACATGATAGGAACTAGAATTGCCAATGTAATTTAGAATTTGAATAGAATGCAAATTATGTAGTTATCCAATAAAATCTCTAAGTTAACATTGATATTAGAAACATAGAAAGTAAAACGCAAATCGCATGTTTACTAAGTGAAGGCAGAGAGCTTGGCACGAGTCCTCGTGCTTGAATCACCACCTACAAGAGCAGAGGATTAGAAAATAATTTGAACATGGAAGAAAGTTCACCCTTGTCGAGGACCGGAAGTAATTTGCCACTGAACGTTTGCAAGTTACTCTTAGATTGCTTCGGACAAAGTGAAAATGATGAGATCCAGGTATTCTTTGGCAGTGGTGTCTATTTCTGGGTTGACGTTGAAGAATGTTGATCAGAGAATATCGACGTGTCCTTGCTCGTTGTAGACGAAGTCGGAGTCAAAATTGGGATCGGTCATTCATCGATTCTGCAGGGGTAAAGTGTTGGCGACGAAGGTATTTGCTTTTCTTAAGAACTCCTCTTGAGAGAAAGAAGGGTTTAAGTGGAGAAGAGGGAGGGAGGTGGCTGGCTCAATGAAGGAGGCTTGGGGAAGAAAATAGGTTCAGATTTTGGGAGGTTGGATGGAGGGAATTTTGGGGATTTATTTTTTCTAATTAATTCTTAACTTTGGAAAGACTTAAAGAGGGAAAGTGATGCATTTAGATTTTTGCATTAATTTTTTGTTATGAACAATATTAGTTATATTTTCTATTTTTTTGTTTTAAGTGGGGGCGGCGGCTTGGGTGGCTTGACCGTCGGTCTTGGGTGAAGGGAGGTGGGGGTCGGGTGGGGTGGAGAGCTAGGGGTGCTAGCCCAAAGTCTACGGGGAGGAGGGCTTGTGGTTGGCTGGTGGTGGAACTTGGTGGAGGTGGCCGGCGGGTTGAGGTGGGGGGTGGGCCGTGGGTTGGAGGAAAAAGGAGGGGGGGATATTAAAAAGAAAAGAAAACATAAAACTAGCCACGAACCCGGACTCTTCCAAGTTTGGTGGGTGATCCGCTTTCCTCTCCAGGGATCTCTCTCTAACTCCTCTCAAGCTCTCACAAGAACCCACAATGCAGAAATTTTTTTATCATTCAATCATTAACCTTCAAAAAAGAATATAAGGGCTATATATAGCCTCATACAATGGACGAAAAATAAAAGACGACTTCGCCCTTTGGGCTTACACATGACCGACCACCTTTAAGTAATGGGTAAAAAAGGAAAAATAACTAAAGCAAATACAAACACAAATAAATAAAATAAATACATATGAAGACTTAAAAATATATCGGCGCGATCGTGGCCGTAGATCCGCGACCACGCCTCTCATAAACTTTCCATGCTCCAATGTCCCCATCATGGATCTTCCTCTCGAATTGAAGATCCATTGTATCTTGTTCTTTTCTTCCCCAGTTCATCAATTATAAAGGTTTCCTATGTTTTCCACGTCATTCTCCCCAATCTCTGTTTGTCTTTTTGCTGAAATTCAATTTCAGCCAACTGTTCTGTTTTTCCTATCAATTTCTCATCCTCATAAAACCCATTAATTTCTAGTAAAAAGTCACTTTCAGTCTTTCTTATTGATTTACATTGCGTTTTTTTCATATTTCATTAATGCAGTCATTACATTTTGTGCTATTAGTATTGCATGTTATTTTTCCCCTCCATATCAGGTTCTAGACCCTAAATTTAAAATGCCTTACATTTACGTGCCATTAGTTCCAATAGGCAACAATAAAGATGCAATTCAAATGCATTGAATTTTTTGTTTCTTATGATACATTTTTGGAAATGCATTTATTTTGGAAATATTTGTATTTTGGAAATGCATCAATTGTTTTGTTCGATGCAATTCAAATGCATTGAATTTTTTGTTTCTTATGATACATTTTTGGAAATGCATGAATTGTTTTGTTCGATGCAATTCAAATGCATTGAATTTTTTGTTTCTTATGATACATTTCGAATGCATGGACATCTGATGGATCATAATGGGCAACTGATCACAGTGGTAGGTGATCGCAAATTTTGGATT